CACACACGCACACGCACACACGCGCACGCGCACACACACGTACACCAGCCATGACTAACGGACCCAGACCACAGGAGGGGGTCGTCTCACAGTCCCGTCTGCAGGGCTGTCACCCGAGGGTGGGATGCCTGACAGTATTCTCATGACATTCTATGATGCTCACCGTCACCGAGAATCAATACTCACTTTTGGGAAAGAAAAAAAATATATATTTAAAACAAAATAGACACAAATAGACACGTAGACGTCTGCGGTGGATGGATGGATCCCGCTCACCCTGAAAACCATGACAGATGAGTTTTCTTGGGGCCTTGATGCATTTTAAAGGTGCATTGAAACTCGCTGAATGAGAATCTGGCGCTTGGTGGGGTGCCCCCCCAGCCCTGGGTCCCCTCTCTGCCTCAGCAGGGTGCAGTCCACCAGATCCTTGCTCAGAATTCCATCTCCCCTCAGTGGCGCGGCTGCTTCTCGGTCTGTACCCAGTTTCTGTGATGAGGAAAGCTGGGCCTTGCCCTGGGGGACAAGCCTGAATTCTGTGTGTTTATAGGGGGAAGGCAGAGGCCCCGCTGCCCCACCGTCTTTAGAGGGAACCACCATCATCCTGTAGCTCAGCTCCAATGGGACAGGGCAAGGAGTCCACCCAGGCTCCAGAAATACAAAAACCTTTCTGTCATTCTCTTGCTCAAGAACCTGCAGTGGCTCCCAATTACCCAGAGCAACTAAGTTTCCTCTCAACTGCAAACCATAGGCAGGGGCTGCTGAGAGCTGTGTTGAAAACCTCTCTCAAAGCTGTGTGGGTTCAGCAGAGCCTCAGACGAAGGAGGGGAGGTTGGAGGCACCCACATGGATTACATGTCCTCCCTGTGTTGCAGAACCAAGTCCAAATGCCTCTGCTTGCTCCACCAACTCTCCACCATCCAGCCCTCGTTTCTTACCAGTATCATTGCCCACTCCCCTAAAAAAGGCCACCTGGACCAACTGTGCTTTCCTCCCCTCCTGCTGCATCTCCTCCTGCCTGTTGGAGTTAATTCCTACTTCTTCGTTTTGGGTTCTTTGTTGCTTGGTTTGGTTTGGTTTGGGTTTTTTTGGTACCAGGAATTGAACCCAGGGCAACATCCTCAGCCCTTTTTTATATTTTATTTAGAGACAGGGTCTTAGTAAGTTGTTTGAGGGCCTCACTAAGTTGCTGAGGCTGACCTCAAACTTGTGATCCTCCTCCCTCAGCCTCCCAAGTCGCTGGGAAGACAGGCGTGTGCCACTGTGCCCAGCTCCCTACTACCTCTTAAGGTCCAGCCCAGACCCTCCCCTTCCATGGAGCTCCCTCAACCGCTCCAACCTGTGCACCTCTGGGGCCCTGGGCATCACCAGGAGTGAGAGAGCAAGTGGAGGAAGGCTGCCTATTTCCAAATGCTCATCCCCCGCCTGATGGAGTCCTACCCCCAGCACCAGGTAAGACGCACCTCTTCCTCTCCTTTGCCCCGCTGCAGCACATCTGGCAGCACTGGCTGGGAACTCATGGCCACAGGAATTTGCTGAGCTCGATGCCCTCTAGGGGTTCCACCCTGTGCTTTGAGATTCCCAGGAGGGACAGGGAGTCCAAAGGGCCTGAGAGTGCAACCTGGGCCCTGATGGGAGGAGTCCCTAAATTAAATGGCCAGGCCTCGATGTGTCCATGCGCAAAATGGGCAGTTGCTGTCTGCCCATTCATAGGGGCAGAACTTCAATCTCTCTCTACCCTAGTGCTGCAGGGAGCCGGGAACCAGCCCTCCTGGAGCCCTAGGAACTGGTGGCAGGCAGGGCTTTGGCCCTGCTCCTCCGAGACACTGCAGGGGGCTGGGGAAGAGGTGAGAAAGGGAGGTGGCAGGTGGGGCAGGAGCACCTCCCCCGGGGCATTGTGGTCCCCTCCCCTGTCCCCTGGCTCTCGGGGTCCTCAGGCTACCCTCAGGCCCCGCTGGCTGAGGGGGAGGATGCCTCTGGGATCTGGAAGTCAGTCCAAGGACAGGCCAGGGGAGGGGGAAGGTCCAGGCCCAGCAGCCCCTGCACTCTCTGGGGCCCAGTGGGAGCACCTGGGGGGACCCCAGCTGGAGAACCACAGAGGGGCAGAGAGAAAGGTCAGCCAGGCCAGCAGGACCCCGGTCCCTTTAACCACAGCACAGCCCTAGTCACGCGCACACTCGTCCTTCTTGACCCCGCACAGGGGCCGCACCCTCGGCCTTTCCCCACGTCCAGCAGGCCCTGGCTGCTGGGCCCTGCCCTCCCCAGGACACAGCCCTGCATGTGCAGGAAGAGCTCCCAGGGTCACCCCAGAGAGGGAGCACTTGCTAGGTGCAGGGATGGCAGGGGCACGGCGCAGAGAGATTGCAGAGACTTGCCAGTCGTCCCCATTCCACTCCCCACTCTCTAGTCATGGAATTTGGGCCAGCCCCGTGGCCATGCAGAATAAAGACTATTTCTTACCCTCCCGTTCAGCTAGACATAGTCCTATAATTAAATTCTGACCAAGGCAGTATGAAGGAAATTGTCAAAAGCTGGCTTCTGAGACTCTGCTTAAGAGATGGCTGGCTCTTACTTCCTTCCCCCAGGTGATTGGAAAGTGGATGAAATGGCTGGCACTGAAGCAACCATGCTGGACTATCAGGGGATATTGGACATGGAAATCACTCATCACAGCAATAAGCTAGTGAGAGGCTGGGTCTCAGAGGACCAGAGGAAACAGAGCCTAATATCAGCCCTGGACTGTAGACTTACAAAAGAAAATGAAATAAAAGTTCTAAATTGCAAAGGGCAATCTTTGGGGGTTTGCTACTTGTTACCTGCAGCCCATGCAAGTCATAACTAGTACCGACCCATCATGAGAACCTCAGAGCGCAGGCAGGCAAGGCGACAGGCACAGGCGGCCTGGGAGGGCGGGGAGGGGTGGAAGTCCTCTGGCAGGGATCTTGCCATATCCAGGATAGAATTCTGCTCAGAAGCTGCTGCCTTCTCCCCGTCCCTCCCCACCTCCCATCCTGCTGCCGCAATCTGTAGTCAACATAAGCCTCAAAGAGGCGACCAAGCCACAGATGTCCTCAGAGGGTTTTAGAAATGTAGTATTATCATGCAAAAGCTGAGCAGACTCTTGTAGAAACACCCCTTGCCTTACTTAATCCTGGCAGGAACCCACCTAAAACAGGAGTCTGAGTGCCTTGGGCACCCAAGACCTTGGGCGCGTGGCCCCTGCTCTGAGGAGGGCCTCCTGCAGGCAGGCTGGGCCCCCCAGAGCTGGGTGAGGAGGTGTGTGCTCCCTGCTGGGGACCCCCAGGTCAGGAGTGCAGGTGACACACTGTTCCCACCGCATGCAGGGTGTCCCTGGAGGGCGCCACCAGCCTCCTTCCCCCAGCCACATGGCCCAGCCGGGACATCCTTTGGGACCCTGGCCTTGTGGCATCTCAAGCCCGGGCTGTATGTGACTGACGGCTGCAAGCTGGGCGGCCCACTAGCCTGGAGTCCTTCCCGGGAGAAGCCCCAAATACAGCCCAGTAAATCAATAAACAAATTAATAAGCAAATAGTGCTGTCTGCTGAGCCGAGCTGGTGCTCCCGGGCGAACAGACTTAAAATCAACAACAGACGGCCGCGGGGCAGGCTGGGAGGCCGGGCAGTTTCTGGGTGGGATGTTCAAAGCCCCAGCGTTCCCAGGACTAGGGACAAAGTTGGTGGGGGGCCTCCCGTGCAGGGTGGGCGGGAGCGGCAGGGGACAAGGCTGCTGTCCTGGGCTGTCTTTTATCCTCCGTGGTTCCAGCCGGCTGTCTCCTGCCAAGACAGGGCCTGGTGCACGACTGGCAGGACCTTTGATCCCCGTCTCACCCGCGATGACAGCGGGTGACAAAGGAACCCAAATCACAAGAGGCACTAATTAAAGGAGCTGGTGGTTTGTTACAGACGCCCAGCCACAGGGCCACCGCATCTGTGCACTTGTCAGTAGGGCTGGGGCAGGGGAGGGAGGCTGGGGACACAGGTGGCTGGGGCAGGGGACTGATGCCCCATTTGTGAAGGAGCAGGTGAATGGGGGCCGGGGGGCGGGGCCTGGCAAGGCCACTGCTGGGCGCTGGGCGGCTGGCATCAGGCCTTGCGTGTGCGGAGGTCCTGGCAGAAACCATAGGCGGCAGCCACCCCCCTGCAGGGACTCCCCCGCAGGCCCGGGAGGCCGGGGTCAGCGTGCCAACAGAAATGCCCGGCTGCCCAAAATAGACTCCCTCCGACCCCGGAGGATCTCCAGCCAGGAGGCCTGCGGCGCCCCTCTCTGAAAAGGCCTCGCTGAATGGCCGCGGAGTCTCTTTTGTGCTCACAAATGCCACCCAATCACGGGAGGCCGCCGGAGCTGAATAACAAGAGTGTGCCCCCGGGCGCTGGCCTCCGGGCTGTGTGCCAGGGCTGTCAGGCGCCCAGACTTCACTACCCACGGAGTCAGCGACAAGAACACAGCTCCTGAAGGCCGGGAAGCGGGGAGGGAGGTGACCTGTCTTGTGAGGGGACAGAGTTCCAGCCTCACGGGGCCTTCTGCCACGAGGCTGTCTGTTGCGAGGCCTGTGCCTGCTGGCTGTCCCCCACCGGGCGGGCACTAATGATGCCTGGCAGCCGGCCTTGTGCGTGCTGCCCTGTCTGGCTGCCCAAGTCCTCAGATTGCTAATGAGCCAGGGCCCACCCTTCTTTCCCAGCCAGCGGGGAGCCGTGAAGTCAGGCTGCTAAGAGCTTTCTGAAAAAGAGGGAAGACGCCAGCCCCAACACCTGGGGACACCTGGAGACGTTTGATCAGGACGCACGCGGTCTGTGACCCCCACTTGGTCCACGGAACACAGGATGTCAAAACCCTTGTGAATATCCAGCTTTGCCCTCTTTGAGTCTGACTTTGACTGATACCTGCTACATCCCAGAGCACCACTGGGGAAGGTGGGCGGGGACAGAAGGGAACAGAGGAGACTCCTGCCCTGCCTGAGCTTGCAGGGGGGACGGGCAGGCACCTCCCAGATTTAGAAGTTGGACAGAGAGGGCAGGACAGTCTTTGAAGGACAGTGGCATTCACTAGCGTGGAAGGCCAGGAAGTGTCTGGGCAAGAGCCCGAGCCCACTGCAGGGGGAGGAAGGAAGATGGACACCAAGGGCCAAGGTCAGCAGAGGTCAGTCAGCCAAGCAGAGAGCGGAGGAGACAAACCAGCAGAAGGATGCCCGGTCAGTACTACTGTCCCTCTTCCAGGCTGGCGCTGCTCCTGCCTCCCTGGGCACCTTCTCTAGGGTGCTGCTTATGACCCAGTGGCCACAGAGAGGAAAAGACTTGGGATTGGGGTAAAATAGGAGAAAAAAGCAATTGGCTTGGATAGACGAGTTCTCAAATGCAGTTTCATCGCTCGCTGTCCACAGGGACGGCCTGTGGAGCTGCCTGGCGGTGGGTCAGAGCACAGCCCCAGGGGCCAAGCCTCAGCCCTGCCCTGACTGGCTGCAGGACCCCGCGAGCATTCCCCGCCCTGAGCCTCAGTTTCCTCGCGTGGAAATGAAGGTAAAAATGATGCTGTTCGTGGGGCGTCATGGGATCAAGCGAATTAATACACACTTAGTGTCTAAAGCTGCTCCTAGTGTAAGAGCTAAATAAAGAGACTTGTGATGACCCCGAGAGGACAAGGGGCTGGGCCTCCCTGTTGCCATGGAGGTACCTGAGACTCGCCCCCCAGCGGTGCAGAGGTGGGAGAAGCGAGAGGGGCAGCCCCGGAACGCAGGGCCGCTCCAGATTCCTAGATGGCAGTGGAAGTAAAGAGGGAACCCCACCCCCTGCCCTGTGTGTACGTGTGTGTGTGCGCACACGTGTGTGATTTACCTACAGGCATTGATCTTTTTTGGGGGGACAAGGGTAGCAGGGATTAAACCCAGGGATTCTCCACCACTGAACTCTATCCCCAGGCCTTTTCATATTTTATTTAGAGACGGGGTCTCGCTGAGTTGCTTAGGGTCTCACTAAATTCCTGAGGCTGGCTTTGAACTTATGGTCCTCCTGCCTCAGCCTCCTGAGCCGACAGCGTGATCTTAAGTGCTCAGCTTGGTCAATTTTTACATGTGTGTGCCTTCCTGGAACCACCCTGAGTGATTCTTGAGGGACAATGGCCTTTTGACAGTGTTCATTGAGACAGAGAAAACATACCCCAAGGGGGCACGAGAGAACCGACTCGGGTGCCAGACAAACTTAGTAGGGCTTCCACTTCTCTGTTATCTCCTCCTTCTCAAAGCCCCTGTCTGTGTCGGCTTGTTAATGTGCGTGATGTATTAGTCGTGCACATCTAGAACTTGCTCTTGGCCGTGCAAACCACTCTGAGGACCCCTTGCCTGCCCGGGAGACCTCCCTGCCTCCTCTCCCTGTTGGCTCAGCAGGACTCAGGGAGGATTTGGCCTAGGGGAGGCACTGGGAGGAGATCAGAGGACAGGAGGACCGCCTGGGACGTCCCTTGCCTGGGAGGCTCCTTGCTGGCCATCTCTCTCCAAGGGTGATAAGCACTCCCTCCACTCCCTCTGGACAGCCCCTGCCTAGTCACTGCCCCTCGTGGTTCCCTGACCCCCCACCTGTACAGAGTCCCTTGTGAATGACTCTGGCATTGCCCCACTTTAAACGTGGCATCTGTTTCCTGCTGAGAACCTGACAGGTCCTCAAAGTGACATCCTCACAGACATTCTAACCACCAGGTACGTGAGCAAAGTCACCCAGGGGAGAGGGCTGTCATTGCCCTGGGCGGCACCCTGTGGAGGTGGGTGTAGTGGGTGCCCTGGAATCTTGACTTGGTGTGCGGGGGAGGGGGGGGCTGCCCAGGGAGGAATGAAGGAGCGCTTCTCGGGGTCTGGCTCCCTCTGCCTGCAGCCAGACAGTCCCTGGGGTTGATGAGCCTCCTGTGACTTTCCATTCCTGGGGACGAGGCGGGGCCTGGCGATGGTAGCCCCTCCCTGCCAGCCTGTGTCTGGGTCCTGTTTCCTGCCCCTGGAGCTCAGCTCTTTTTCAAGTGGCGCACGTGGTTCCTGCAGGGTCTTGATAGCAGATGAGCCTCACCCTGGGTGGCATGGGAGGGTTTAAAAAGTGGTTTTCACCCAAGGGGAGGCAGGGTTCGGGCTCTATGGACAATGATCAGACAGACTCCATTTGCCCTGAGACTCCTCCTCATGTAAGACCTGCTTCTCCCGTGGGAGAGCCACTTCCATACCCACCCACCGTAGTTAGCATAGTTTGTTGGGCAACACAGAATGGCAACTCTACAAATTCTTACACAATGCAAAATTTTTCTCTCTCTTTGGTTCCCATTTTTCCTGGAAACTGTACCCGGTCAGAGATTGACTGTCTAGAGGTGAGTGACTGTTCTTTAACTTGTACTCAACTGGGGACCTTTTGACCTACTCCCCCTTCTGCTCATGATTTTAGATCTCGTGACATTTGCCTATGTTTTTGAGTCATAGCAACAGCCACTTATGATGAATGTGGTTTGGGACTTTAAAAGGTGGACTCAAACCCCAGGAGGGGGTCAAAGGGTGTAGACTTGCAGCCCACCCCTTGGACCACAAGCTGGTGGATCCAGATCACCAACTGGTGAATAAAGTTTCTGTCTCCTACTTTAAGATCAACAGGGTGCCAAGCGCTGTGGAGCACACCTATAATCCCAGCGGCTTGGAAGGCTGAGACAGGAAGATCGCAAGTTCAAAGCCAGCTTCAGCAACAGCTAGGCCCTAAGCAACTCAGTGAGCCCCTGTCTCTGAATAAAATACAAAACAGGGCTGGGGATGCATCTCAATGCTCGAGTGCCCCTGAGTTCAATCCCTGGTACCCAAATAAATAAACAAATAAATGGAAGATCAACTTGGTGATTT